ATTATAATGATTTAGTAGAAAAAAAAAATGTATTTTTAATGCATTTTAATTCATACACGATTATTTACATTAATATGATAAAGGTGTAAAATAAAAAAGTAAAAGATATAAAATAAATTAAATAACTAAATATAAAGGTATAAAGTGTAATTTAGAAATTGAAAATATTTGGTTTTAATATGTGGGAGATTGTGGAAGCTTTTAAATTTGTACATTTCATATAATAATTTGTATCTCTTAAAATTTTTAACATAACTCTAAATCTTTTTTAAAACTAGAATGGTACTCGTACAATGCACTGAAATATATCTTGATTTTAATGTTTTGTTTTATTTCGTCTCTACAGATGTTTTAATATGGTGTTTCTGTGGTTTTCAGAAATGGATAATGTTTTTATTTTGAAATAAAATATAAATTTGAAGATATCATAAAATTTCAAAAACCTAAAGTATAATATTTTACATATATATAAAACTTAAAGTATGAAAAATGAAAAAAAAACATTTCAAATATCCGCCGGAAATCCGCCGAAAGAATAATTTTTTAAAATCTTGAGAAATTTATTATTTTAAATTACCGGCGGCCACCGGCATCCGTCAATAATTTAAAATAATAAATTTTAATCCTTAACTATTTCCCGGCGGACGTTAATCATAAAAAATTAATTAAAAATCCGCCGAAAATCCATCGGTAACTTATTGTAATTAGAGTTAATAATTTCATAAATATTTAATTTGTATAATCCGCCGGAAATAATGCCGGAATATAAATAACGGCATATTTCCGGCGAAAATCAACGAAAATTGACTTTTTTGTTGTCCGCCGGAAATCCGCCGCTATTTTTTCCAGTGGATTTTTCCGCCGGAAATAGTCAGTTTTCTAGTGGTGTAACACAAGTTTTCCTTGGTAGAGTTAGTTAATTTGCATGAACTTTTCCCCCATCCTAGGTTAGGTGCAGGTTTGAATACTGCTCTCTCACTCTCTCTCTCTCTCTCCCGTTGGTCGAACTGTTTGCCCTCCTGCCTTTAAGCGAGTGGAGCGACATGGTTCTCCTAAGAGTGAAAGTGGAACAGGTAGAATCCTTCTAAAGTAAAGTCAAGTAAACACCTCCTAGCCTCTCCTTTCAGTCGAGCGGCTATCTCTCCTCTTCCGCCTTCTAAATTAAATCGAACAATTTAAAATTCCTTTCAGAGTCATTTTCTTAGGTTTTTAGCTCTATATTTCAGATTTATTATGTTTCTGGAAAAAAAATTGCAATAAAAGACTCGAACACAAACCACACATACAAAAATCAATGAACTAACCAACAGACTAATGATTATTTTTTTTGAAAAATATTCATATCATTTCTTATAGCCAAATAATATCACTACTTGAAAGAATTCCTAGGACCGCCTTTGTATATGTTCAATGATTAACTTAGGTGATTGGAAACATATATGAACCAGTTAGATCTACACAAACTAGGTCAAATTGTGTACAAAACCAACAATTATGTTTACAATCCGACACTCAATAATTCACAGCCCTTCCGAAACTTGATGTTTTTGATCGGTTTCACGGGCATCCACGGTGTTGTTACCGTATAGAGGCTGTTGATCACCCATCATTGTATGGTAGATCTCACCAACCTATTAGATTCACCACAAAATATCATCAATTTTTTAATATTTTGTGCTCGCTCAACCATAATCACTATAAATTGTCCAAAATAGCCAATACGAAAACCCCTCTTCTCATTTTATAGCCACACCTTCAACATATTGACCGAATAGCCGAGATTACGCAAGTGACACTTACGCAACCTGCATAACCCACTTTTTTTAATATAATATTTATGGAGAATAGACATTGCACAAGTTACATAAGTGTTGCTAGCGTAATGTCTGCATGGGCAATTTATGTGACACACACTCCTTGGTAGACTGATTACGCAAGTGGACACATAGACATTACGCGAATAGCTCTTATGCAACTTGCGTAATATATACTTTTCCTGAATATTATATTGAATCGGCTATTTCATTCTATATGTTGGAAAGATGACGATAAAGTGAAAAGAGGGGTCACATCGGCTATTTTCGACAATTTCCCTTTGATTTCCATGCTGTCAAATTCCTTCAAGTTTCTTGCAAATCTGTTTTATGTTGGGCCTTAGAGCAGGTGATGGAGAACAACAAGCCATTGCGAGCCGAAAGAATCCCAGAACACGATCTTCGTTTATCAAACTTCCATTACCACTGTTTTCATCAAGCAGAATGTCGGGATGGTACAAATCCGATATCCGATGATCCAAGATTGCGTTCCTCAGCGAGGTTTCCAGATAAGAATCTTGATCAGGGTTTGCTTTGTTGTTAACAGGTTCCTTTCCGGTAAGTAATTCTAGTAAAATCAGTCCAAGATTGTAGATATCTGTCAACTCATTCATATCTTCTATTTTGATTAATTCGGGTGCTTTATACCCCTCGATAGCAGCTTGTTCTAGCATTTCTTGAGTTGCAGATGGATTCAGGAGGGCGTGTAGACCGAAATCTGATACAAATGGCTGATGATTTTGGCCCAAGAGTATGTTCTTTGACTTGAGATTTCCATGGATTATCGGTTTCTGAAATCCTGTATGTAGATAATCTAATCCTCTAGCAATGCCCATTGATATCCTAGAAATGACTGTCCATTTGTGACATTCGTCTTTTTCATCTGTCCAAAGTTAAAAATGAAAATCGTCACGTGTTTAAAACATAATAACAAGTGGCGTACGCAAATTTCAGTGGAACCCACTCAAATTTGCATACTTTAATTACAGCATCTACAATGAAACTTTTTGAAGAGCTTTTCAACCACATGATGGTGGAAAAACTCCACACTAGCTCTTAGTAAGCTTGTTTTGCTTGGCCACCTAAGCTTGCAGGTCCCACTTTTTAAATAAAAAGATTATCATTGTGGATGCTCTGATAGGTTTTAGACTCGGATTGAGTGTAGAAATGGAGAAACTAAATGAAAATAATACTAGAAATTGTCTAAAAATAATATATGCTGATTTGAAACCTACAAACCTATTGCAAGTTGAGGGTCTTCTCAGAATCAACTATCTCTTGAGGTACAGGTAAGGTCAGATCTTACCGTCGGATGGGATATACTGAGTTAGTTTGGTTTGTTATGAAAGAAAGCACATATGGATTTAGAACCAAAGAACTTAAAGGTTGTGATCGAACACCATTTAAACTAGAATTTCGTAGAAGCCGGATATGAATGAATGTAAAGATAAAGATAGATCAAAAGCACAAAAAAAGGAAGGGGGAAAAAGGTTGCATTTGCTTTAGGAAAAGATGCACACCACATACTAGCTTTTGCTTTAGGAAAAGCCAGGTGTCTAACAGCATCAATTACTTGTAATCACTTGCATCATTTCTATGAATAGAAAGCTCCAAGACCATAATGTCCTCACTACAACAAAATTGGGTGTTATAATACATACATATAGTATCTAATGGAACTTTAAGTGTATACAACTTTGTAAGTATTTGTTTGTTAGCAGTTTAATGGAACTCGCAGTTTATTCAGTCAGATATACATGGTTGTTTGGTAGTGTTTGGCTATTCAGTAAGCTTCTAGGATGGAACTTTATGCAGAAAGTCAAGTTTAATGGAAGCGGCTTAATTGGCTGAATGGGACAAAACTAAGGACAAAACTAGCATCATTATGATCTAGCATCTAAGAAAATGGGGAAAAAGAAAAGGGCAGAAAAATTACCTTTAATGAATTGAGCCAAATTTCCTCTCCCATAAAAGGGATGAACAAGAAGCTTCTCACCTCTAGTTCCAGAATAGAACCCACATATAGGGACCAAATTAGGATGTCTAATTGACCCTAAAAGTTGTATCACTGGCATCAAATCTTGTACCTTTTCTGTACAAGTTGGTCTCAAGAATCTCAAACAAACTACTGAACCATTCCTCACCAAATTAGCCCTGTACAAAGTCCCATAACTAGATTTTCCAATAACTTCACCAGGGGCATCCAGTATATCAACACTTGTGAGATCTTCACCACCATGAAACCTAATCAAATCCCCATTGATTTCCATTTCTTGCACACCTTTTTCTTTATGTTCAAGGCTTGCTTCTTTGTCCCAAGATTCATCTTTTTGGGACCCTTTTCTTCTATAGACACAAATCAAAGCTAAAACAATGAATATAGCAAAAGAAAAGGATAAAGTCACAATTAGTACTAGTTTGTGGGTGTTCTCCATGTGGGTATATGATCAAAAGCTCAAAGAAATCAAGAAAAAATCAAACCCACAACGGCTAAATTGGAAATCTCTAACATGTGGACTTAAGGAAAAATGGAAGTTTTCAAAGATTCTTGATGGGAGTAAAGAACAAGAACTTGGTTTGGAGGCTCAGGTCTCACTCATTTGGTTGGTTTGAAAAAGAAATGTGGATGAAGTTGTGATTAATGTAAGTTTGTGCCTATTCTCCATGTGGGTATATGATCAAAAGCTAAACCAATCAGGGAAAACTGAACTTGTTTTGCAGGGGTAATAACAGAAGCTTTCTTGACAGGCTCAACTCTCACCCATTTGGCTAATTTAAACAAGGATGAAGACACAGGGATTGTAAGTTATGTGGCTATTCTTGGTTTGGGTATATGATAAAAAGCTCAAAAATAAAGAAAAAACTGGAACTTGTTTGAAGTTCTCGATGCAGATGCAGTAACAGAAGATTTCTTGAATTCACAGGCTCAACTCTCACCCATTTGGCTGATTTAAACAATAAACAAAGATGTAGACACAATGGTTGTAAGTTTGTGGCTAATCTCTGTTTGGGTATATGACAAAAAGCTCAAAAATCAAGGAAAACTGGAAGAAGGTGAAAGACAGGAGGTTTATTCACATGTTCAAGTCTCACCTACTGACTGACTTGAACAGAAAACAATGTGATTTTTGGGTGTAAAATTCTGGAATAGATTTGGTCATTAGTAAGTGGCATGCCATGAAGAAGATTGAGAGAGAGAGAGAGATGGAGATTGAAGAGACAGAATTGGAAAGTGGAAGGAACCCGGTTTAGAAGATGGACTTTCCAGAAAGGGTCTTCTGAAAGAAGCAGCAGAAATGATTTGGAGATTCTTGACTTGTGATGCAATGTCTGATTGGAATAAGGTTAAGGAATTGGATTCATTTTCAAGTAATCCAAAAGCCATCAACAGCATTTCCTAACAAGTAATATTATATGGTTTAGAAGGATTTTAATGGATGTTGTTCCATATATGTTATATCATATCATATCTTATGTTGAATATGTAAAGATGTTGCTAGATGCATACAAAAATAAAAGTATAGTTGAATAGACCAATTAATACAAAACAAGAGTTTTAGACTTATGGATTGTTTACCAAACACTTATCCAGTAAGTATCTAGCGGTAAAATTCAACATGATCATTTACTTACCGGGTAACATTTTAGTAAAAAAAAGGCTTTCTATGAAACGATTACCCGGTAAAAACTGATCGTGGTAAAAGTTATTGCCCTCACTTACCGGGTAAGATTCATGGTCATTTCCATGTTCATCCGATAAGGTAATGTAACTTGGTAAGTGCTTACCCAAGTAAGCATTTGAAGAACGGCCCCCATAGACCGTTGCATTATAGTTTTTGAGATAAGCTAGAAAAATCTATATTTTGTATTAGAAAAGCTTGGTTTGTTATGACTTAAAAACAAGCCAAACATTTTACAAGATGGAAACAAATTTTAATATTTTGAAATTTGGGTTATTTTTAATTCAATCAAACTTGGTAAAAAGCTACATAAATTCCAAACTATGAATTTATTATTATTTTTAAATGTTATTTTGACTTTCATTAAAAAAATAGTGAAAATAAATGAGATAGATATATTTTTTTAAATATTAATTAGAGCGATATGGTGGTTATAATGACATGGGTGTCACCAAGCAATACATTATAATAATTTTAGTTTTTAAAATAATGAGTATGCTAAATTTAAATCTTGATTTTTTGTGAATATTTTTAATTATTAAAAATTCAAATCAAATAAGATAGAATAATATTTTAATAAATTATAAAACAATGTGGAATAATTTACAAAATCAAAATGTTGTTGGAGATTCGGAGGGTAGAATCCCATGTTGATGGAATGATTTCCAAACATATTTTGTGAATATTTTTAATTATTTTATTTATAAAATTGTAACAAAACGTCAACTATGTTTGATTTTATTAATCATGTTGAATATGTCCATCCATATCCAAATACATTTGATACATCTCAAACTCAAAAACAGGATATCATGCTAAAAATATCACTTTTAAAGACCTCAATTACATCATCCATTCAAATATCAAACTTTTGTGATTCTTAAAAACAATTTTTAATGCACAAAATCTTAAAAACAATTCATAATGCATTAAGTATTACTACTCATTCAGTCTTAAAATATCTTAATCTACAATTAAAATAACATATAGTACAAGTTACCAATGCATATTATTACATTTTCTTTTCATGCTCCCAAGATATTTTTGACACATTTCACTCAAGGTTTCACCCTCTTATACTTCTATGTCTTCTCCTCATCCCCCAAGGTGATATTCAAACTGATATTCACCATGAGTTATCAAAAGTTCTTTCATTCATCTCTCATTCAATTGCTCTAAAACTCTCGGTCTCGCTCTCGATCTCTTGATTCTTTGCTCTTGGTGTAAATCGAACACTTTTGTGGAGTCGTTTAAATATGTTGAATTTTAAATATATTGGATTTTAAACTGTTATACAATTTTTTTCATCGATAGACTGTAATTGGAAGCATAACTCTTATTTATTCAAATTATATTAATATGTAAAGATCAAATGTAACTTATATCATCGTTAAATCTTCTCTAATAAAACCAGTGAAACTTTAAAATCGTTAAAATTCATGGCTCCCGCTGCATTGCGCGGGTACACAACTAGTGTGTGTGTGT